TAACTGTTATCATTCAATTTAATCTGTTTAAGCAAGGCTAATTAAAACTTACAATAAACATATAAATATAGAAATATGTAGCAATAGGTGTGTCTCTGTGTATTTCTATTCATATACAAGTATATCTGCTGTGTTGTTTTTTTTTAATCATAATCTAATCTTTTGTATGCAATATATTTAATATATCACTAAAGAACAATAACAATTTACTCTGACATATAATAAAATACAAAATCAAGTACATAGAGGCTGCATGTATACGGTCAAAATTTATGAATACTAAACAAGAATCAGATGAAAGAAGAAAAATACATCACAACACAGAAAACAACAGGACAAAAGATAACATAAAAAATATAATCTATAAATCAAGATCTCTTTATTATGTATCTTATGTACTATGACCTACTTGCCAAGCTCTTTTTGAACGCACTTTTTAAAGAGTTGTGTAGCTCGAACTGTGATGTGACGATGTTGAGATTATCGCAGATTGATCTGAGCCCTCGCTCAACGCCTGGTGTGACGTTGATGAATATCAGGTCCTGGTGACGCTTTTCATAGTCCATGCAAAGGCCTTTGATTCCCTAGAATATATGAAAAGATTGATCAAAACGGTCAGATATTTGTATTTGTATTTATTATAAAAAAAATTATCTACTAAAACCTTTACTTAGAGAAGCAACCAATCCTTTCTTCCTTACAGACTGATGTGCCCACATCTACTAAATTACAATTAAAACATTTATGTTCATTCCAATGAGCGTAATGCCACACGTATGCATGACTCACATCTACAAAAATTAGTAATTATTTTTCACTGTTATTTACCTTGGCAGCAGTAAAATCAACCCCAACAAAATGTTTGCAGTCCACAACAACTGCCAAGTTTCCACTGGCCATTCCTCGGCCTGCTTTGCTTACAACTGATCTTACGTGATCAATTGAGGGGAAGTAAAGACCACTACGCGGCTCCACCAAAACATATGCAGGTTCATCTCCATCCTAGGAGGGGGGAAGCATTCAATATAAATTCATAATACTTACAATATAATAACTGATGAAAAAAGACAACTAATCACAAACATCACATGTAAAAGTTCCTCAGATGCATCTGCTTCTCCTGGTTATATTATTAAGAATAAGGTTTGATATTCCTGAAGAAGACTGTTATAGATATATCACCAAAGAGGAAAATAAAAACAAAATTGTAATATCATCTTCTTCTTTTAAATAAATCATATTTACTGTGTGAGACTTTGCTTCTTCCACTACTACTAAACTGCACTGTATGGCACTGGCAAAAAAAGAGCAAAGAAACATTGCTGCTAACACATCCACTGGGCTACATGCCATGCAAATTTGCACACACAAGTTGTTAATGTTATTCTCCTGTGAAATTAACGGTGAATTATAAGCAAGCTTTGATTCAAGGGTAAAAAAGAAAGCAGTAAAAAAAAATCTAATTTTCCAGTTATATATATTTTTTGTGCCCACATTTTTTTCTTTTTGTATTAAACATTAAACTTAATGAAATTACCACTGCAGTACTATCAAATGATTTCCAGATTCTTTTATATTGAAAAGAATAAAAAAATAATAACACCTCCCATTTACTATCACCATCTGTTGAAATGGAAAAGGAAACTACTTCTGAATGCATGAAACTGCAATATCACATTCCACTGCCTCCTTTAAGTATTAGTGTGTACTGCACTATTGTGCATCACAAATATGAGTAAAAATAATAACTCAATATTAGGAGAGCAATGTCAATAAAATTAATTTTTATAAAATTGAAGGAATCTTTGGAAAGATCAGAAAAGGAAAGAGAGATAATCAAAAACAGGTAAAGCAAAACTTATGACAGAACTTCTATATTCTTTCTTCAGATAAAAAGCCAGACTGAAAAAGCACACTGAAAAAGAATGACCTTCACACAAAAGCTTCAGCCATAAAAGGTCTACATCATCATTATCACCACTCAGTGTTACATTTTCCCTTTTGCAAAAAAAGCCTTTCTGAAATCTTTAGCATTTTCTAATCTTCCACAACACTCACCTTTCTTTCTTTCCTGAATTAATCGATCTTAAAGGCTCATATCCTTTAATCTTTGCTTTGGTCTGGGTTCAACATTCACTGCAATAGTGAACCTATGTAGCTGCATATCTTATACTAACTTGAATATATACCTATGTATTGTATTATATATAATTTTGGAAATCAATTGCTGATGTTCAAGAAAATGAGAATAGCTGTGCAAGTTCAAATGAAGTTAATGTAGACAAAAGATGAGATGTGTGACTGTTAAATTGTATAACAATTGTTAAACTGAAATAAGATAAGAAGTAATGAATTCTAGATTAGATTTGGTTTTAATATACAATGTCATTAATGTAAGCTTCTAATATTATCTGTATATCATAAAAATTAAAAGGTTAGTCTGGTATCCAATGAAATTAACAAATTACAGATGCAGCACCTACTGTCTGTTTTCTACATT